AATGAGAATTTTCAAGAAAAATTGTTATAAATTTTCTACAAATTTGGAAGTGTTATTGAACTCATTATGAGAATAATGAAACTATCTTTGAAATATAGATTTAAAGAAAAAAAAAATCTTCTCTCCATTTTCAGGGAAAGAAATGGAGCTTTAGACCACCAAACCTAGAGAACTTTTCTAGCCAAGCAAAACCGGGAAATTTTAACTTTACCATCATAATATCAATACCAAAATTTTCAAAATCTCTAACGTGAAAACCGCCTGAAAAATTGCGCCTTCAACAGCTATCCCGGAAAAAAAAAAAGAACTTCCTTCCAAAACTATACAACAACCACCTAGTAGTAAAGTACATTAAAATATATGGGCAACAATAAAAAAATAATCAATTAACCAAGGGCTTGGCTTACTTTGTTTCAAAGAACACTTCTGATATTACTCTCACGCCACCCCACCCCACCATAGAATTACAAAGAAACAAAACCAAAAATATGTAATCGACTAACCTAGTGGTTAATCAATCATAACAAACTAAAAAATCACCAAATAAAAAGGACTAAAAATATATATATTCTACAAAGGACCAAATAAAGAAATTGCTGCAGTTGAAAAAAAAATTACTTCTGCGGGTACGTTTCTTGTACAGAATGCGATAACCGCACTCGCGGCACTGAATCACGTCCCCCGGCTTCAGCGTGTTCTCTTGTCCGCAATCTGCAAACCCAATTTTATCATTTTATATAATCAGCTAAAAAGATTTAACCACACACAATATCAAATTACAGTCATAACCATCTATATACGTGTATGTGTAAGTATATTTAGGGTTTGCAGTACCTCCACAGATGTAGCTCACAGGTTCGGGCTGCGGATCCATTCTTGGTTATCAAACACAGAGAAACTTAGGGCTTAAGGTCTCGTAATGAAAAAAAATAGCGTTTTTGAATATAAATAAATAGGGTTTTTCTATTTCGCTCTCTTGATCGAGTTTACCAATCACCGTTTGCCAGCTGTCCATAGTACAAGCTGGTTTTCCTGAAAATTTCACTCAAGGTCACTTAAAGTACAAGTTGGTTTCATATTAGTAATTCAATTTTAATTTGTTTCATATTAGTAATTCAATTATATTTTTATTTCAATTTGACTATTTCGTCTATAAATATTACTTAAATTATATCAAAAAAATATATTGCTTCTCATAGAACCTAAACAAACGTGTCTTTGGGTCGTGGATTTTGCTGGTCAAGTTATGTTTGATAATGGTAATAAATGGAATGATCAAATAAAAACGAGGTCAGAGATCAAATAAAAACCAAATTTTCATTCGACTTTTCATTTGCTTCATGTTGTCTGATTTTTTTATCTAACTTAAATGAATATAAGTGTTGCATGAAATGAAAATCTCATGCTCAATTTTGAACAAGAGAAAGATGTGAGGCTTCTATCATTCTCAAGTCCTATTTCAGGTGAAAATTGTACGACTGACATGAAAGAAATTTATACGTTGGGTGACATTAGATGAAAATTTCCCCTATTTTTTATTATTGGTAAAAGAAAAGCGTTTTTAAGGAAAATATTAGTTGGAATTTACAACAACATATCTTGGAACTGGACTTTTGATTTTTGAGTAAGATCAATGCTTGAAATAGTCAAATAATCGCAACATCTTGAAATAGTCAAATAATCTTGCAAAGATGTTTTGCGGGACTTATCGCTCTCAGATGAGAATGAAGTTATCTATAAACTCATATCTATAATTACTCTGATAGAGAATTAAATTTTAATTGATGTATCCCATTTTCAATATCGTCCGCGGTATGTAATGATCAACATGAATGATACAAGTATATAACAAAATCAGTCACAAAAAAATCTATATTACCAAAGGTATCTCAAAAACAAGTAATCTGAGGATTTAAGGTTTGAATTATCAAAAACAAGCCTTTAGCATATGTAAAGGCATTAACATGGATAAACATTACAGCTAACGGAATTTTGAATTCGTCTAAAGAGGCACCACAAGAGCAACGAATAACTTCTTGACGATTAGTTTATTTAGACTTGAACTTGATCTGTGAAGACTGCTTCAGACAGCATCCTCAACTGCAAGCAAAAGCGTCGAAATTTTAATAACAAAACAATACACAGCAAAGTGTTGATAGACTTCTCAATTACACTGTGGACATACTTCAGTTGCAAGAGAAGATCAAACATAATCGATGATATTGGGCCAGAGAAAGACCCTTCTTTCGAGCAGCATCTGGTAATGTGTTATAATTTATCCACATGTACATGTTATAAATTAGATGCACCATGTATCAATGTTCTTGGAGACCATAAAAGGAAATTAGGCAAACCTGAACCTTCTCAACGAAAAATAATCTGATAAAATCTAGTTCAAAGACGATCCTAAATGTATCTTATTGTAAGCTGGACTCTGAACTTTTTACAAAGATGGACTGTAGAAAACTTGTTCAAATTTTGGTCTAAAACTAGCTACAATCCATTCAAGCTACAGCATTTGCTAAATTGAACCAGATTAATATTCCAAGAAGTTCAACCATAAATGATAAGAGGATTAATTAGTCTTTCAAACGATACTGGCATTTTATATCTCCTCCCTCACACAAAACCAGTTCACTAAAAAGAGAAGAAAAATAAAAAGTGACCAAACTAGGTTTTTAGGAAAAATAGGTCTTCTATTTCTTCAAACTTGATATATATACAATTTTGGGTTAGGATCCAAGCTAAACTAATTTCCATGGTTGACAAACAGAAGCAAATGCTCCAACCAACATCCTTAATGCAGAAAACTATGCATAGGGAACCTTCATATATATAGTAGTAACCAACCCCTTTTTGGCCAACCAAAAAAAAATTTTGAGGAAGAAGAAGAAGAAGAAGAAAGAAAGAAAACAACCAAGTCCAAAGAACATGCAAACTTTCAGCAAACTGGTTGCAAGTGTTGCAAAATGGCAAAATCTTATCTAACATCTCTGGAGAATAAGCTAGTTCACACTGGATCATTTGGAGCTATTGATTAATTATTGCACGAGTTCTTAATAGACAATGAAAAATACCAGATCGCCACATCTCCAAAATGACATCCAATTCTAATTCAAATCTTAGCTGAATGAGTTGCTTACCAAGAGTTTTCGACCAGGAGTCAGACGATCATCCTGCAAGCCAGTCATGTTAGAAAATGTTTCCACAGATTTAAAGGAATCGTAATTGAGAAAGACTGAAGATTATTAGAAGAGGACTAAAACGGTAGACAGCAGAAATATAACGTCCTTAGCACAAAGTAAAGCTGAGTGCCCAGAAAGTTGCAGTGTTAGAGAATATCTTGTTTTCATCGTAACGTTAAACAGTAGTCAGGACATGCAACCAAATTTTTTCTTCCTTTTTTCTTCATGTTTGTCATCTCTTTCCACAGTTATGTGACATTGACATTTTAGAACTCAAGTTTTGTTATTATCAACAAATCCACATATGGATTGTATTAGTAAAGGAAAAATATGACAAAGAATTTGAAGAAAAGTTGCAATAGAAATAAGAATGAGAAAAAAGAAGACAAGCAATTTTGATAACAGTCAAGGACAAACTATGACATTGTTAAATAGACAGAGTTTATTTATCATATGTATTCACAAACCTTGTCCATTGATGCAGCTGATTCAGATTCCATGGTTTGAATTGGAACTTGTGCTAGGAAAGCATCCAAAGCATCTAGTGTCAGCTGCCAACTGCATAGTGCCTGAGCACCAGCACTGGAACCAGAGCCACTACTGCTACTGCAGCCAGCTGCGGCAACATTTCCATTCATCCAAGGACAGAAGTGATTATGATGCTTGATTGGATCAAACTCAACAACTTCCTCATAGTTGCATCCACCATTTGGTGGCCCTGAACAATGTTCAATATTCAAGAAGTCATTTGTCTGGTCAACAACGTTGAAATCACAAAGGTTGAGCCTCTAAGAAGACAAATTTAAAAAAGAAACAGCCAGATAAGAAGGCTGCAACTGAATTCTTTATACAGCTGATCATTTGACTGATAATCCATAATGCAACCCTGACATGTGATATGGAAACTGGTAATCACAGCACAATGAATCCAGTAGTCTGAA